GCATATAAAGATCGTGAAATGCAGCTGAAGGCTATTGTTTGAGAGAATGTGTAGCCAGAAATGCAAATTTAGAAAAGAAGAATGGCTGAAATAGCAATAATTTAAATTGCTGTCTCCAGCAGCTAGAAGACGGCCAGCAAATTAAATCTAAGGAAATTGGTAAGATGGAAATTATCAAGATAAAAGCCGAAATCAAAGAAATAGAAGGAAATATATACTAAATAACATCTACAAAGCCACCAACTGGTACTTTGACAAGATTAATAGAATTGTGAGTAACTAACAAGAATGATCAAGTGCAGAAGAGAGAGAAGACAAATTCCAAGTATGAGGAGTGACGGAAAGCAGTAGAACTGATCATGTCCTCCTCAGAAAGGTAATGAAAGGAGATTAGGCACAATTTTACACCAACAGAGTTGGCACCTTGGTATAATAAATACATTCTCAACAATGCGACCTGTCAAATCTGACAGAAGTAAACAAAAATCTAAATAATCCAATACATATTTTAAAAATTGAGTCCATAATTAAACCTTTTCAAAGTAAATTCCAGACATAGATTTCTTCACTGGTGAATTCTTTCATCTTTTAGGAAACAGAATACAGCAATCCTATACAAAGTCTTCCAAAGCACATAGAAAGAGAGAGGAGGCTATACAACTCTTCATAAAATCAGAATATTCTATACTGAAAACAGCAAAACCCTACTGAGAAAAATTAAAGATGACGTAAGTATATGGAGTAATACACAGTACTGTGGCTGGTAGGCTCAGTATTATAAAGATTTCCATTCCCCAAATTAACATATATATATGAAATCCCCATCAAAGTCCACCAAATAATACGCATATACATTGCTGTTTCTCTTTATGGTGTGTTTTAAAATATCTATCAGTAATTTCCTTAATATTCAATGCTTTTTGTGGTGTATTTTTATTTTTATTTATTTTTCCTTTCACTTTTAGATATATATTATATTTGGAACTTTGGAATCAATCTCTCTCTATTTATATATGTGTGTATATATATAATATATATAAGTTAATAAAAAATAAAAATTAACTTAATAGAAAAATGAACACTCAAACAGACCCCTTACAACAAATGGAAAAGTGATATTAAAATGACTAAAGATGAAAATACACTGAAATTCATTTATCACCAGGAACATGAAAATTAAAGCCATAAATTTTTAGACACGCAATAGAACAACTAAATTTTTAAAAGATGCCAACTTCCAAGAGTTAGCAAGGATTTGAGCCACTAGAGAAGTCTCACAGACTGCTCGTGGAGTGTACATCTATGTATCCGCTTTGGGTGACTGTCTGGCAAAACCCTATGGCACAGGGGTTCCACTCCTGGAACAGAATTCTAAGAGGTGTTTACCAAATGACAGGTGCTGGGATGTCCAGCACTTCACTGTTTATAACATCCCCACATCCTGTAACAAGGGAATGTGTGTATAAAGCCACATATGAATCATGGAAGCAATTCACCAACATAGTGCTCTGGGGAAATGAGGTGAGGTGCGTGCACATTATGTAATTACAATCACATAATGTGTCAGAAGAGGCAGCATGGATTTATGGGGTCAAGGTCAGGCCAGTGTTGTGGAGGAAGCGGACGGAGCCAGGTCAGGATAAGGACAGAAGCGCCATTCCTGGTGGAAGCCGAGGTTTTTATCTGATGGCATCCTAAGAACCCGCGCTGACTCACCACTTACCTTGTCTCAGGAAGAAGGCACTGCAGTGGTGCTTTGTCCATAACTCTAGATCGCTCCGTTATTTGATTTCGCCAGCAATGTGAGAATCATTTAGCATGCAACTCTACTTACCATTAGCGTCATTTTGCCATTTTGTGTGAACTAATTTTATATATCTTTTTTCCCCAGGTTATCAACCAAAAATTTCACCTGTGACTTTGAGTGGTTAAGCTTTAAGTAAATTCATGCAAGATAGAGTGTAGACAATGGAATATATCACTTGTTTCTTTTGTAGACTATATTCATAGATGTGCAAAATAATGATATATAATGATTCTCCCCAATTTTTGACCATTTTAATGAGTGGCAGCGCAATTTCTTCAGAAATCATTTGCATATCAACTTAAACCCTGAGTTCATTTTTTAAAAAGTTTTTAAAATAAGCTTTTACCTGGTATATGGTAAGTAAAAAATACACGTGAGTTAAATTAGTGCATACATAAACAAACATATATTTGTTGAGTACTAACTAAATTATATCATTTCTCAACTATTGAATCAATTATTAAATTAATTACATCTAATTTCATTCCAAAAACGTGCAGCACAAATAAAACTAAGGAGAGGTAATCTGAGCCAAGCAGAAAATAAATGAAGAAAACATCAGAAAAGCCAAAGCAAGTTAGCATTACAATTCATTCTATCAGCTTCACATTTACTAATAATGGTCTGTGGATCTGTCTTAGCGCTTCCTAAGCTTCCTAATTACGGGGGGGGGGGGGGGGGCGTGAGGTGGGTGGGGGGAAACACAGAAAGCATGCCTACCTAAGTAATTCACGGTGTCTTTACAACAAATCACATTTGTGACTGTGTAAGATTCAACTTATCTCTTTAACTGAAACTAAAAGCCAACAAACCAATCATTTACATTTTGCTATCTCATTTAAAAAAATGGCTTTTTAAGTATCTCTATATTATCCTCAATCACACCCCCATATGAGGTACAATAAAATGTTCCACTGTATTTTTTTTCAGATTTTTTTTTGATGTGGACCGTTTTTAAAGTATTTATTGAATTTGTTACAATATTGCTTATGTTTTGTTTTTTTTGGCCATGAGGCATGGGAGATCTTAGCTCCCTGACCTGGGATCGAACCAGCACCCCAGCATTGGAAGGCAAAGTCTTAACCACTGGACCACCAAGGAAGTCCCTCATTGTGATATTTTTAACTGCTCATCACTTTAAATTTTTGAAATGTCAAAGCACAGCTAATTTTAGATGAGACTCAGCTATCATGGTCCAAATAAGCGGCTTTGGGGTTACCTGGCATAATTAAAGATAAAGTCTAGAAGATACAAGGGAAGTAAGTGGGGGAGGTCAAGAGCAGTTAAGATTTGGAATCAGAAAGTCTGTATCCACACACTAGTGCCAGGCAAAGTTTGTTTATCTAATAACCAGTTTACTCCTCTGTAAAATGGGAATAAAAATAAGACTTTCCTCATGGTTTTGGTACTAGTTTTGAATCAGATAACAAAATATAAAGGACTTAGCTCAGCAAACTTCAAGTGTTAACTTTTACTATTATGTGGCACATGGAGAGAACTCACTAAATGGAAGCTATGTTTTTATGTGCTCTGCTTCCCAAAGGATGTTTTAAACCCATTCACGAATAAAGGCAGAAGATTTTGTAGCAAATAGCGTTTTTCATTTTTATAATCTATAAACTGACATGGAATTTGATATTCTGTTACTCTGTGAAACATCTGCATAGGCAAATGATATTAATTTGTAAATTATTCACTTAAAATTTTCATTAAAGCAAATAAAAACAGTTGAGGTTTAGATTGAGGAGTTCTGCTGGGGCAAACGAGTTTTGGGAATTTGCACTGTGACATCCAAGTCTCATTAAATTACTTCCTAATAAACACCCAATACATTTGATTGTATGAGCGCCTTCTGGAGGAAGGCATCCCTTATTCTCCCCACATTTGGGATTCACAGATAAACAATAAAGGCTTGAAAAGGATGGATTCTAAGCACTCACTGAAGGGGATGGTACCCGAGGACCGATCTTCAGAGGGGAGTGTGCACAGCAGCGAGACTCCGTACCATCATCACTAATGCTTTACAGTTGTCATTGACTTTTTTTTCAGCTAATGAGTACAAATCAAGTACCAGACAGGTATTGAAGATACTTCTATAAGGATGGTTGTAAGGGAGAAGTAAAACGATAATTGAGCCATAGGCTGGGAATAATCACTTGTTGAGATATTCCGGGGGGAATGGAGTCAACCCCTCACTACAGTTTGGCCCTGTTTGTCCACCCCTGGCCCTGCAGAGCCTGCAGGAAGAAGACCAAACTCCTTTCCCTCACACATGGAGCCCTCAGACACATGCCGGACCGTGACTTGCATTTACAAATTCGCACCTTCAAACTCAATTGGCAACAGTCACATTTTATCAAATTCACTGTCATACTTCAAACACACTGCGCTCTTTACGCATTGACAATTAGGTGCAGTATGCTCACCCTTCTCCTGAAAATAAACTTTTTTCCCTGTGTAGCTAACGGATTTCAACATTTACGAAGTCTTAGTGTGACTGTCACATCTCCCTGATTAAGGCAACATTAGCATTTTTCTTTGCCTGTTTCCATGCCACCTTATGATGATTCTCTTAGAACACTCATCTTGTGTGCAATAAATACATGAAGTGATTTAGTGTTTTTCTAAAACAAATAGATAAGTGGATTAAATATTTGATCTCAAAAGCAAAGGTTGAGTTCCATGATTAATAAGGCGAAACAGTTGAGGAAAAATGCATTCTTGATACATTTTCTCTATGTATAATCCTGTGACAAAAGTTGCTTTCTTCATCTATTTTAGAATTTCCTGTTTTTGTAAATCTCTTTTCTGTGTTTCTTAGGTTCTGGAACACTATAGAAACACATTTCCCCCACAACTCAGAAAGTTATTAGACTGAGGAGGGAGACTGTAAATCATTTCATAATTGCTGTCAGTGTTGACTGTGATATCACTGATTGAAAAACTTTAAAACTCATTCGTGTTTCAAGCTTGCTAGAAATAAATACCCGGCTATGTGTGACAAGGTTAAGTAACTATTTCACAAAATGTTTTTCTCTAAAAGACTAGGCTAAGAAAAACATCTCCAAAACGCAGAGGAAACTGATTACAACTTCAGATACAACAAAGCACCTTCCTGACTTTTCCTTGAATTTTAGGTATTGGAGTGAGACTTAGCATTCTGAGTTCTAAGTGCAAAGCGCAATCCACTCACCGGCTTGACAAAATGAAACAGGGGAATTCTTGTCACAGTCGGGTGCCTGCTGTTCTCTCAGTATCATTTCTATTCACAAATCGATGTGTTTGGGGCTTAAGTCTCCCATTCAGTTACATGCCCGGCATGGATTTGGGAGTTCGCTCCACCTCTGGGGCTCAGTTCACCATCTGAAGAAAACAAAGGAAGACACAATAAGAGAGTGTGATGGTGATTCTATTTCTTCAGATGGTCTTTTTAAAAGCTGGACAAACTAATGATAGAAGCAATTTATTAAGTAAGCAAAAATAAGTTTTAAAATTGAGTTTCAAAATAGCGCACAGGGGCTCCCCTGGTGGCACAGTGGTTGAGAGTCCGCCTGCCGATGCAGGCGACACGGGTTCGTGCCTCGGTCCGGGAAGATCCCACATGCCACGGAGCGGCTGGGCCCGTGAGCCATGGCCGCTGAGCCTGCGCATCCGAAGCCTGTGCTCCGCAACGGGAGAGGCCACAACGGTGAGAGGTCCACGTACCGCAAAAAAAAAAAAAACAATAGCGCACAACTCAGAACAGGGGAGTGTTAAACTCATCTAGTAAACTAAATAGATGAATTCATAGAAGGTATGATTAGTGTAAAGAAATTTGAATTTTCTTTAAGTAATAATTATAACATGCACAGGGAATGGTTGTATCTCTTACCAAAGGTGAGATTCATAGAAACCAAGAACTTAGTGAGAAATCAACAACAGAGAACCAGGTGCTCCAGGGTGATGTGCTGGATTTATGTACAGGTGACAGTGAGAGTACTTCTGATTATATGATCCTGACTGGATTCAGGTGTATGAAATACATTCATTGGTTTAGGACCTATTGTCCACGTGTACAGATAGTGCTTAAAACACAGACGCCTGGAGACATTTATATTGACTGTCAGTTAATCTGTAAAGCAGTGATTTTGTTTTATTTCACCTTTATTGAGGTGTAATAATATAAAATTGTGAGATACTTAGAGTGTGCATCGTGGTGATCTGACATCTATATACATTGTGGATGGAATCCCCCATCTAGTTCATTAACACATCCATCACCTCACATACTTATCTTTTTTTTTTTTCTTTTTGGTGAGACCATTTAAGCTGTACTCTCTTAGCAAATTTCAATTATACAGTATAGTGTTAACAACTAGTCACCGTGGTACACGTTAGATCCTCAGACCTTATTCACCTTACAGCTGAAAGTCTGTTCCCTTGGACCAAGGTCTCCAACCGCGCCCGCCTTCCTCCCACCCCGCCCCCACTGCAACCCCAGGCAATCACTTTTGTACTCTGTTTCTATGAGTTTCAGATTTTTAAAAAAATTCTGTATGTAAGTGATGCCTGTAAAGTGGAGATTTTGAATGGAGTTGAAGCACTCTCCTCCAGGTGCCTTGGAATCACCCGTGTGACTTTTACAAGGACACCTGGGCCCTCAGTGGGTGGGCTCCTGCCACCTCCCACCTCCTTCCCGCTTCAGTGGACACAGTTTCCTACGCAGAGTCATGGACCAAGTGAGCCAAGGTCAGTTAGAGAAGCGTTAACAGAGAGACTCTGTTGTATTAGCAAAGAAAGCAATGCTGAGAATCACACGTATGTGGTCCAATTGTTTCCTCACAGTTACTAGAAATTCAGGAAAGACTTATATTATTTCTACCCAAATTATTATAGGAGCATCTTCCAAAAGCCTAATTACTGGAAATCAGACCGACACATAGACTCCCTCCATTTTCCTATGAAAGCTTGTTTCACATTAACCCCCAAACCAGCACGTCAAGGCCTCAGAGAGCCATGGAGGCATAAAATGGGGTCTCCAGTTCCTGGTACCCCAGATTTTCCCTCCCTATGGATGCTGGAGCATGAAAGGAGGGGAGCCCCCCCGTTTATGCTGGGGTCCACAGCAAATCTCCCAGGATCAACAGCAAAGATCCCAGAGCCGCAGACCCTGGGTTTGCTGTGATGTCTGGTCCTCTGCCCGCCTCCCCCCCTCCCGGCTAAGGGGCGAAATCCCCCTCCCGGAGCCACACACCCTAACCCACTCCCCTCTCTGTTAGGCTCTCCTCCTCAACAGCAACTGCTCTCTCCTCTTACTTTTACACAAAAGCACCAGAGGTACCAGTGGACATAAATATTCTGCAGGAGAGAGAATGGGAGTAATTGTAGGAAAGGAGTGCTTAGTCACTGCCCAGAGCTCCAGCTCAGCCAGTCAAATGCATCCTGAGCAGAGATGAATGTCCTTTCTATCCAGCTGATGTCCACTCAGCCGCAGTTGCCAAACCTGTCCCCATGTTTATCTTGGACGTCTCACTAGATTTCTCAGAAAACAGATTTATGAGGCAAACATCGGAATCTATAGTCTCTGATTTCAACTTCAGGAAATGTGAATTTCGTGACGTATGTGCACTTTTCTTCAATTCATTGTTTTATTTTCCTAAGAAATTTCTGAGGAAATACTCAAAAATCAGAATTTCTGAGGGAAATTTTGAAAGAAGTGATCAGAGGATGTATTATAAAATAAATATAAAATAATTTTAATTATCTTATGTAAATATAATTTTCTAAAGTCTGTTCTTCATGGCAGAAGAATACTTGATTGTAAAGAAAACAATGGATTAAGCAAATGCAAATGATTTACATTCTTCAAAAATCAATCATTGTTCATTTATAATGAGGATGTTTATAGATTATCTCTTTATATCGTATTTCTGATCGATTTCATGAACGTGTCATGACATATTTTCTGGCACAATATTCCCCAAATTCTTATTAGTTTTAGTATTGCTTTCTTTCACTGCTATAAGTACAGATTTGATTTACAGATTCAACCTTAAAGGTGACAGAATTTGCAAAACAGAAAATGAAAACACTTCTCTGACCCACACACTAAGTCTGCAATTATAGCAGACTCTGGATAGGCCGCAGTATTTGCAGTAATATATAAAGTTTTGGTTAAAGCCTTATGTTTAGTCTGCATGAGAGAAAAGCAATACCGCTGTTTCTGTAATGGTGTTAAAGTCAAATTTCAAAAATTATATTAATAAACAACTCACTTGGCAAATGACAATGGCATTGCCTATGAAAAAGCTCCCCCACCCCCCGCCAAACAGGACTATGGCGTATTTGCATCCCTCCGGAAAGTCCCCTTGTGCCCCTTCAAGATCAAACCGCTCCTCACATCGGGCCACCAAGTCTCCACGTCTCTCACCGTAAATAAGCTTCGGCTGTGCTGGACTTCATGTCAGTGGGACTCACAGTATTATTTCTGACTCATGTGGATGGGTGTGTCATGAGATTGCTCATTTCTACCACAAAGTAACATTCTGTTAAATGAATGTGTCACACTGTGCTTATCAATGAATCTGCTGTTAATGGAGCTTGGGTCATTTCACCTTTGGGGTTTTTATCAACAAGGTTGCTGCAAAGATTCTTGTGTAAGTACTTTGTGGACATATTTTTTTGCCCCGTTTCTCTTGGTTAAACACCTGGGAGTGATGATGCTCTGTCCAAAGGCACGGGCGTGTTTAAGTCAATGAGAAACCACCATGTGCCCTGCACTTTGCTTCTCAAACTCGATGCTGAGGCTGCCACGTGGGTCCATGTGGGTGGTGTCTGTTGTTGCTTTGTTTTACTACATTGGTGAGTGAACAGCAGTTTTAGTTTACATTTCCCCAAGATCTGCCTACCCCACGGTCCCACAGATACTCTCTTATGTTTCCTTCTAGATGCACTATGGTACATGTTAGTTGGATGACAGACCTAAGTGTAAGAGCTACAACTGCAAAATTCATAGATGAAGACATAGCAGTAAATCTTTGTGACCACTTTACATGCACAAGGATGACTAAAATATAAAAGACAGACAATAATAAATGTTGGAGAGAACGTGGAGAATGTATAAATACATATATTGCATCTGATTGGGAACCAGTACGATATTTTCTCCAGATGATAAACATGGAGCCGCCAAAGGCCCAGCAATCCCACTCCTAGGTACACCCCCAAGGGAATGAAAAGATGCATCCACACCAAAACTTGGAAACAGATATTCCCAGCACCCTTATTCCTAACAGCCAAAAGGTGAAAGCAACGTAAATGCTCATCCACCATCAGGTGATGAATAAACAGAATGTGCCCATCTATACAGTGAAATATGACTCAGCAGTAAAAACGAATGAAGCAGGGCTCCATGCTACAACATGGATAAACTTTGCAGACATCATGCCACGCGAAAGAAGCTGGTCCCCAAATACCAGGTGTTCTATTACTGTGCTTATGTGCAATAGCCAGCATAGACATATCCACATGGACACCCTGCGTCTTAGTGTTTGCCTGGGGTTGGGAGAAGGGGGGCAGAAGAAAGGAAATGGGAATTACTGCTAATGGGTATTATGTTTGCTCCTGAGGATATGAAAATATTCTAAAATTAGCTTCTTTTGAGGGTACCACTGACCTGTACTCTTTTAATGGGCAAATGTTTTGTGTACATGAAATCTGTCTCAATAAGGCTGTAAAAAACCAAACCAAAACAAACTTTGGATGAGATTACTGCCGTATTAGGCACTGTGAAAAAGTCAAGACACAGCAATAAAATTATCTGAAAAAATATACAGAAAGAGAATAAAACAAAATAATTAGCTCATCAGAGAGCTGTGGAATAAATACCAATGACTGAACAGATATGTTACTGGTGTCCCTGAAGGAGGAGAGGAAAGAATGGGAAAGTACCTGAAGAAATAATGGCCATTTTTTTTTCAGATTTGATAAATTCTGTAAAATATACAAACTCAAGAAGATCAACAACCTCCAAGCACAAGCATATAAAATAAATCACATACCTAAGGCCTATCATAAGCAAACTGGTTAAACCCAGTAATTTAGAGAAAATTTTAATTGTGGTGAGAAAAAATGACCAGAGGAGCGGAGATAAAGATGCAGCATGTTTCCTATCCGCTCTGATGTAGGTGAGGACAGAGGAGGGGTCTAGCTGTGCGGCCACCGCGTGGAGGAGACCACCTGTTACACGGACAGTCAGGCCGGTGGCTGCGAGGGTTACTGGCCATTGTAGGGCCGTCACGTCCATTCCAAAGAACTGAGGGATCCTGAGCTGAACACTGGTCAGCCTTCAAGAAATTATTGTTTGGGAGCAGAAGATTATAGGC